TTTAAATCGTTGAAGGTCTAATTTGGCGACTGAGTTTTATTTTTATCGAAATGGAATCGTTAATTGAGAAACGAAAACCTGTCAGAGCGTCCTTTACGAAAACAATTATCATAATTTAGGGGGAGTATTAGTAACGGAAATTCCTGATCCTGTCGAAACGGATCTTGCAATTTTAGCACGTTTATCTATTGAACTTAATCCATTTGACATCCATATATTGAATGCAGAATTGTCTTCAAACTGATCAGTTTGAAAATGAATGGACAAAAGAAAATTTCAGTGAAAAGTTAGATTTAATACGAGTGAAAAAGAGACTTACTTTTCTCTCGCCAAATGACATAGTCTTATTGGCAGTGCGCCACGAAATTGAATAAACAGAAACTGAAAAGTACCTGAAATAGAGATAAAATAATTTGGTGATGACATTAAGGATTGGTTACCGTTTTGAGGACAATTTCGGCGAATGCGTGAGGATAAGGAAATTTAAAATGAGTACAAGATGCATTATTTCTCGTTCATGCAACCATACCCGGGACAAGACCACGTGATACTATGAACAGTCCCTGGACCTGCGGAAAATTATGAAAAGATTATAGAAAGCTGAAGAAATAGGCTCGGTAACGAATAATTATTAGAATTCTATATTCGGGAGTTATTAGGTCTGATTACTAAAAGTGCTTCTGATCAAAAGGGAAAATACAGTATATCCGATTTGTATGACAAGTTAGAGTCATATTTACGTTCGTTGGAGTCAATAGGGATGGCAAGAGACAAATACGCTGCAATGCTGTTTCCGCTCATTGAATCCTGCATTCCCGGGGAAATATTAACGAGTTTGCCTTAGAAGTCATGCATCAATAAGTACAGGTGAAAATTCTCATTCTAAGAAATTCGAACAATTATTGTTTTTTTAAGAAATGAAGTTGAAGGAGAGCAGGAAAATTTTGGCGAAACGACAAATATTTAAATGTAAAATACAAGACAAGATGGAATAAATACAATGAAATTATAAAAAGATGAATTTCAAAGCAAACAACTAACAGCGGTACACCTAAATAGTATGCAAAATTATCTTTTTTTAAAAATAAAAAGGAAAAACCAATGTCAAAATAAAACATTGTGCAATGAAATCCTACTTCTTTAATTTCATATTAAATATACAATTTTGTTTTCTCTTGTTTTTAAATTTTTTTGCTGTTTTTGTGATTAGACATTTTACGAACTGTCAGATTGGCTTTGCGTGAGAGAAGCTCACATTATTTATAACTAATTTGAGCTCAATTAAATGCAAATCCTTATTAACTACTTTACTTTTCTGAAGCGTTAAGCGCATTAAAGTCGCATATCGGGATATATTATATTTTTTATTTCTCATTTTTTGGCTTCATTACACAAACATACACATACAGACATAGAGATAGAATGAGAGAAATAGGTGGACAGATAGATTCATACATGTAAAATTCAGAATTTATTCTTTTGGATTATCAAAAAATGTATTTTCAAAATGTACAGTACTCTGTGGCAACTAGAATGATATTTTAACGTTAATAGAAAATAGTTAAATTAACAAAATATGAAAGGAATTTAAGTAAAATTTTCTTCTCTAAATGATAAAACCTCCATTACAGTATTTTCTGATTTTATATCCCTCTGTTATGCAATATTTGATCATTAGAAAACGTTCTTTACATGCAAAAAATATTCAGAATAATAATAAGTTCTTCAAACGTTCCGTTGATACGTGAGAAAACTTTACATCAAGATTTCGCTGTTTCAGCACGCACATTTAAAATGTCCTCTTCCTTGTTTCAGAACATTTCATCACGTTTTGAGTACAAACCTAACATGCAATGCGTATTTAAAAAAATACAGGTTTTTCTCTCGTTGCTCAAAAGTAGAGCGCTCCTATAAAACATTTCGTAAGCCATTTCGGCGTAAAGCGAAGAAGCAGCTTACGTTGTTTTTTACAGAATTTTTTTTCAGCATTTCTATGCCCAAAAAAGCATAGCAGGCCTCTTAAGCATATAAGATAAAACTGCATAAAATGTAAAATAACACTAATATGTAAGCGGCTATAAAATTCCCATCACAGCATAAACGAACAGCTGACTTTAATTATTCAGAGTGCTAAATAATATTTATAGAAAGGTCATTTATTAAGACATTGCTTGAATATGACTTTTATCAGATGATGGTCCTCGGCACCGTGCATTCTTTCATCAGATGCTGGAAAGCTATCCCCCCCCCCAATTTCTTAAAATATCGTATCGTCAATGATATTTATGACGGCAGCTATAATGAGGTTTATTTCCAATAATTACTGCTCAAAGTGTTCAGAAAACTTTTTTTTTATCTTGCTAAGAAATAATCAACACGTATTAAGTCAGATGACCGGGATGGTGAAGAAATTAATATTCTGTGGAAATGTTGTATGCAAATTCTAGCTGTATAGTCGGTAACCCTATCTTGTTGTAATCATGAACAGTTGATATCCAAATCCAGCATCTGTAACTGAAGGATAAAGAAATCTTGAAGCATTTTAAATCAATGCTCATTAGTAACAGTGAGGCATGCTCATCGTGGTGTAACAAAGGAGTCATTTGACAGAGGTCATAATCAAACCCGAACTGGTAAATGACATTCCTGTAATTACTATTTAGAGAACAAAAAGAAAAATGTCTCTTCACATAGAGAATAAAAATTTTAAATAAATATTCATTTCAGGTATAAAATAGAAACAATGCGTGTAAAGTATAATTTTACTGTCCAAAATTGTGTAGAAGGTGCTCATAGCGGAAAGCTTTGAGATTGGTTAGGTCGTCAGTGTTGAAAAGCGTATTAAATGAAGTGTCGGGATGAGGACGTCTCATCGTTTGAATACGTCACGACCAAGCAGATCACTAAAACCATAGAGTTTTTACTTCACCTGTAGCTTTCATTTTTTCCTTAATTCAAATTTTCCAGAAGATAGAAAACAAAGTGTGAAGGAATTCAAGTATGAGAGTTGGCAGATACGCCCACTTGGGGTTGCTGGTAAAATTTAAATTAACTAATGCCTAGTAACATCGTCTAAAAAATCGGCAATTTGTTTTCCTATTGTGCTCCATATATCTCCTTGTTGTAGATTCCTTTGAGAAAGTTCAAGCTTTGACTTACGTTACATTCCATAATTTATTAATATTATAAATCTGATTTACGTGTACTTGCTTTCCTGCATGACTTTGGGAATATTTTGCTTTCCTTTCTTAAACTTACAAGAAAGTAGAATTCAAAGAATAACTCGAAGTTTTGTTCTAATTTTGAGTAAAATGTTTTAAGGAAAAGATGAAAAACTTGCCGTTAATCCATAATTTCTGATGTTTCAGTTAGCAAGAAAGATTAAAATACTCGTCAGTTTAATCCGTCATTCTGTTACATCCCAAAGCGTCTACACTGCTTCTATATTTGTCTTCGATATGAGAAGATCAAACATTAGAAGTCCTGGTGTGATTAATAAGAAAATACACTTAACTGAGTACAATCCCACATTTTCTGTCACGCAGTTCTTTGTAGGTAATTAAACCATTTGGAAAGCATATCTTAAATCTATGACATCTTTCCTAACTAATGCTACAGTTTTCTGCAGTCGAATAAAGAAGTTGAATTAAAGAAGCGCAGTTAAATTAAAGAACAGCAATATTCTCGTTTTCGCCGTACCCACCAATGGCCGAGGGTTCAAGTCGTTGAACAGTGGTAGTTCGACCAAATTTCGAAGTTCAGTGACTGGGCTGGCCGCAGTGATGTTTTCGTGGTTTACTCCATGTGTAACGGGAATGATATTTTTGTGTCATACTTGTCTACAGCAAGAGATTTTTTATTCTGCTATTAGCAATTCCTTAATGAGTCCCAAACGGACCTGGCGGGGTGAGAAATACTAGCGAAGTTTTCTCCAGGAAAGGCAGAAATAGATGGAGCAAAGAGTGAAAGAGCCCCTTGCTTCTTTTAGAGAAGATGCCGGACTGGAGTGGCAGGGAGAGGTCGAGAAAGCAGTCTGCTAGTCGTGTGAGGAGGAATGACGAATCTGGAACATTTGATCACAAAATTACAGTCTATGTGTTGAAGTACTGAATGAATTCCTAGACCGAGTAGAAAATGAGAAAAGGAAATCTACGACTGAGGAAAGTCAGTTCGTGAGGTTTTTCAGCTTTCTGACTGGTTAGCCTGGTTACGGAGGTCATAACGCAAAACATGTTCAGCGAACGGTCTGATTTTCTTATCCTCTGGTAAAATTTCGTAGGCTACAACATTCGCAAAATTTGCAGGGTTATTACTCATGGTCCTGTAGTAAAACGTTTCAGTCTATTGATGAAATATTGTATTATTTACATTTTAAAGTCCGAGTGAAGGCTTCTATTGCTGGCAAAGTAGGGAGTATTGGTGATGAAACTTAAAACCTTGTTCGAAGAGACGGACGGATGAATAATAATCGGATAAATGATGGAAGTATATATTCTCTTTTTCAAACTGAGAGAAAGATGTTCACTTTTTAGTAGTGGAAAAGCCTGAATACAATGCCATAAGCTTTGCCGCACGCTCTATACATGAAGTCAGACTAGGTGATGTAACGTGTATGTGAGCCAGCTTTCCTTAAAAGTCCTCCACGAAATAGATTGCCCTCGTGTGCTTTGCTATAATCAATAAACCAAACTAATCTCTTTTCACCACTTTCGCAAGAGAAAGTATTCTTCGGATTTCTTGCGATTGACGAAAACAGATAATAATGCTTCTTTCTATCAAAGTATTTTTTATTAGTAATTTAAGGAAACTTTTCTTTAAATGGAAGCTATATTATCTCTCTAGACAGAAAACATCTCTTGTAATAAAGGAAAGAATACATAATGCACAATTTTATGATTAGACGGAAAGTTATTTTTAGACTCATTAATATTCCAGTTACATTTCATAATTATAATACTACATAGCAATTTTTTAATTAATTCAATATTTAAATTTTTCAGAAAGAAATTTCAAGGAATTGGACCTCCAGATGAGGAAAGTTCTAAATTATTTGATCCTGGTTCAAAGTACCATGTTATTAATAACATTCCTTACTTACGGTAAGCTATAATTATCGATAGATATACTATGTAAGTGATAATCATGATTAGTTTCTAATTCAATTATTTTTACTTTATCTATCACGGAGAAGATTTACTCGACTTTATGAACTGAAGAAAAGTAATGAAAAAAAAAAGTGCATTACAACAAAACTTTGTCCCGTGACAACATTATTTAATTCTGCTTAATATTATTCTTAGGCGATGAATATCTTCGCTCTTTCAGATCTATCCCGAAGTATTATGTACTTCTGATAGTATTGCATGAAGTAGCACAGTTAAAGAATATTTTAATCTTATGCCGAAATTTTGCATTCGTTGTTTCAATATTTAACTTTAATTCACTTTATATTTTAAACTTTAGATTTTCGTTTTAAGCTTTAATTTAGAAGATAATTTAATTACTTTTATTTTATTGCATTTTTAAAGTTTTATCGAAAATACTTAATTCTGTGATAATATAATAGCTTTTCTAACGCCCTGGATGATATTTGTAATTGTGAAAATGTAGAAAGGAATTCATATACATAATAAAATTATTCATATAAATTTTCTGCAAGGCTGTTTAGTGTATTACAAGTTATCTTGAGCAATTATAGTGCTTCGATGTCAGTTCTTTTAGAGTTATAATGTAATTATTTTATCACTAACGGATATCATTTCATAGGTATTTCCTGAGTCGATTTCTGGAGCATCAATTCCTAGAAGCTCTTTGCAGTTTGGCGAAGCAAAATGTTCACTCTTGTTGCTTTATTACTAGCAGAGAAGCTGGAAAACAATTAAAGTAAATATTTTAACATTTTATAAATTAACTACACTGTTTAAGAGAGTACATTTGAGTTGGGCTTAATATGCGAGCTGAGACTGAGTTATTCGCAAATGATCACCGTTTAAGTTCTGTATAGAGTTCAAAGAGGCTGGTTGGAAATGCCCCCAAAGAAATTGGCTATCTCCGAATTCTGCGAGCGCCGCTGACTAAAAGAAAAAATGAAGGAAGACGTAGCGTAGTTCGGATATACTTAATTCGAAATACGCTGGAAGAAATACAACAGAATTTCAGAAAAAAATCATTTTCATTGCATTAAAGAAAATTAAGGAAGAGTAACATAAAATAACAACCGTCAGCGTACAATCGTCAGCCATTTGTAGAATTTGTACACATCAAAAGAAACAGTAAAATGTTAATGTAAATTGACTACATAATCCTCATGTTTCATCTACAAAAATTTATAAAAATCTTTACATATTGTTACGCCGAGAACGAGCTTATGCCGCGTGTTTACAAGTAGCAATGTGTTTGCAAAGTGGATTTAGATTGAAGTAGAAGCCAGTCGTGTAGTTAAAATTTAATTCATTCTTACTGTATATACTAATTTGTGTTAAGTTACTTAGTCACAAGTGGTGATCACTTGTGAGCACCGAGTGTGTGCATGTTCTGCTCAGTTTAGTAAAAATAAAAAAGATTGTTACAATCTTCGTCGACAGTCATCTGTTTTTCAAGAATTAGCGAGAATTCGTTAGCTCGTCTTCAGTAGGTCTACATTTTATGCTCACAAGAAGAGTAAGACTACAGACTTAGTGTATTTTTTATAACTAAACTAGCCTAAAACTCATTAATTTGTTAAAAATAAACAAGGTATTTTTAATTAAATATTTCAAATATATAAAAAAGTTATGTTACTAAAACTAAACATATATGTACCACTTTTTATTGCCTTCTTTTAAAGTCAGTTTTCATAATCAATATTATAAAAAACAATATTAATTTAAATTCAAATAAAAAATTAAAGCACAGTTTCAGAAATCCTTTACGTATATGACGAATACTAGTTAAAGACTACACATAAGTTACATTTCTAATGGAAAATATAACAAATGGAAAGGAAAAGAAACGCAGGAAATTTTTTATTAATTTTTACGGATTTCCTTTCAGCTGCAGCTCAGTTAATTTGAATTCATATGGAATCATTCTGAAGGGATTTCAGTTATTGTAAATATGTATTTTCAATTAAATGCAGCTCCTTCACTCAAATAATACCAAGCCCAAATAAATCGACAGTCTAGTACAGGGGTGGCCAAAGTACGGCTCGCGAGCCTGATACGGCTCTCACAGGCAATTTGTGCGGCTCATGCATATAAAATATATGTATGAAATATGGTAAACTAAAACTATTCAGTGTCCAAAAGGAAGTAATTAATTAGTTTAGACTTATTTTACAAAGTCATCAGGGATTTCTTTCTATTTAAAATCTCATCAACTACTTCTATTATGATGTAAATAGGAACTTGTGGCTTTTAGAAAATCTAGATGCGGCTCTCGAACATTCCTGAATTCAAACGTGCGGCTCTTACTGACATGAAGTTTGGCCAACTCTGATCTAGTATATTGAAAGAAATATCTGTTGATCTCCAGTTATGCCATACGTAGTCATAACCACATGGTGCATTCGATTGCACATAGCGATTGCCCAACTCGCAGTAGTATAAACAGTGGCACAGATTATTCACGATTGATTTATCTTTCAATCAAATTAGGAAAGAAAGAAATTTAATTATAAATTTAACAGCGAGTAAAATTATTCATAATTGTTAGTTCATCTCACGAGTGCTTTGTGTTATCGAATGATTTAATGTGTGTAGAAATCTCAAGTTTGTGTTATCAAATGATTTAAATGTTAATGTTCTATTCGTTTCTTGAAGGAAAATGCTTTCTCTTGGGGCTTCCGTTTCTTGGCAAGAAGCTCTGGCTACACTCACTGGTAAACGACAATTATCGGCTGCTCCAATCATGAACTACTATATGCCGCTCTACACCTGGCTTGTTGAATTCAACCGAAGACATAACGTCAGTGTATGACTCAAAAAAGAGAACAAAGGAGCAGAGTAAACACTGGAGATCCGGATATTGATTAAAAATATGATACAGAAAATTTAAACGCTTTCTTTTGACCTCAGAAATATGAACTGTATAAATATCACAGCATTAAAGAGTATTCATTAACAGCATTCATTTTTGTTTCAATAATTTGAAATCTATAGCCACTTATATCCCAGAACTCAAAATTCACGTGTACTACTGCCTATAATAAAACTGTCAATTGGGAAATAAATAAGTTTGTGGGGTTATAACCTTTTACCTGACATCTAAAAGTGTAGGAAACTCGTGAATACTTAAGCGAATAATCGCTTTAGTTCAGAAACAGATACATAAAACTCAAGAAGGGTTAATTACCCTTTATTTCTCAAAATAAATTAACAGATAGCTAGCTCAGAGCGTACAGCAAAGCTTCCACTTGGGCTTGAACTTAAAGTAATAAGAAATAAAACTTAACTAAAGCTTAACTAAAAAGATATAACCTAAGCTATCAATATTTATAAGTAGTTGGCCCCTAAATATCAACTAGGCTGGCGAAGCTATCAAGGGTCCTGAAATTGGGCCGAGCATAGTAATAGCTTGTAGCCAAAAGGCGAACGCGCGCTAGTCAGAATATCTGGCTCTCTAACGAAGTCAGTGTAATTTCCACTTAAATATCGCTCTTACACATTTGCATTAACCGCGATTTTAAAAACACATTTTGGTAGGAAATTGTAAGCTGAAATTAGGAGTAATAGGAAAGTAGCTTTAACTAAAGATAACTGTTAAAAACTTAGGATAAACCTTACAAGTTAATTAATAATAGTAAAGAAGAAAACTAAGCTTACAGACTATGGATGCAATTTAAATGTAAGAAACATTTTATTGACTAAAGTGATTAATATGATTGACCCGATTTCAGGTGAGAATAATTCCGTTTCTCATAACAGCGTACAACTTTGATACGCGTCCAATGAAAGCGAAATATACTAGTTTTAGAGGTATCTCAATGTTAGTTTTAGTAACAATATATAGTATATTAAGCTTTTATCGGAATAGGAAGCAGCAAAAGTCAGCTGCGCCCTAAGCCAGGATTTGAACTCCTGACCTTCCACTTGCTAGTCGAATATGTTACCAATTAAACAGCAAAGTCACGCACTCAAGAAGGAGAACATTCTTTATATTCTCCCGAACTTAAAGGTACGACGGAACCCAGTTACTAAATCCAGGTGGTGACGAATAATCGTCAACACCTGGATTTAGTTATAAATACGGACGAATAATCGTCACCACATTTTAGTCAGGTGTCACTGGCATTTAGAATTTTTCTGAACCCAGGAAACATGAAGAATCAGCTATTCCTTCGCCGGTATTTCAACCGCCGAAACTTGCGATTACTTCCAATTACACTACGAAGAAACGCGGTGAGAAAGAATAAAAATCCTTATAGTCTTTCCCCCTTAGATTGTGACGGGGAGTCTTCAAATCCAGGCAGTGACGAATTATCATCCATCACATTTTAGTTCGGGCGTCGGTTATAGAGCCGTTAGGATTTTCGAGGCCGAGAAGCATAAGAAATCAAGGCTGCCCCACTCCGGATCTTCCCATTGCGAACTAGGTGCGGTTCCAGTTACACCATGAAGGCACACGGTGAAGAATGACAGAATTTCTTATAATATCATGAAGATGTTCCCGATTTTCGTTATTAAGAACTCAGCATTGTTAAGAGTTTACTCTAGAGCAACTCAGAGTTAACTCTATGCTCGAATTTTCTAAAGCTGCTTGAGAGCCTATGAGATAATTTTGGGGTATATGATAAAAATGCTTTTATTGCGGACTTACATGATCTCAAAAACTGCAATGTCCGTAGTACGGATAGGTAAAGAAAATATGTGTGGAGTTTGATTATGGACTGAATGTTATTCGCATAACTAAAGGAAATCTCACTGAATACTTACTTATAATTCAAATCTCGGCAGCTTTTTTTCCATATCACGTATTATTTATGACTTTATAAAAATTAAACGATTTGATATTATGTCAGTCATTTTGAAAATTTTCATTATTTAATAAGAACTGAGAAATCCACACTTTCAATAACAAGTCTAAAAAATGCTTTCTGATTTGGAATTTAAAGAAGATGAAAAGTAAACTTTGTATTGTACGTAATTTAAATAATAAAATGAATGCATTTAAAAAAATAAACCTAGATTGCATTGTGTCATCTAAGAGTTGGTTGGTTGGTTTATACTATAATCAAAATACAGAGCGAATATTGCGAAATGCAAAAATTAATTAAGTAACATATTTGAAAAAGTAAACATATAAAAATAGAAACACAAGAAAGGCAAACAGTACTTTATGAAATCATATGTAGAAGATAAACTTATGTTTCTGTATAGATATGCACTTAATTGTTTACCTATTTCTATACCAGTGGTTGTTGTTGTTGTGACAAATTTCTCTTGTTTGATCTAATCAGAACAAGCACACGAATATTATCGTTGCAAGGAATAGAATATTGAGTCTGTCGTTAGCAACAGACCTTGAGGACCACACAGTTGACAATCCGACTTTGTTCACTTCCACCCTAATTTTAAAGGAGAATTGCTCGGGGGACGATTTCGAGAGTCTCTCACCCTTCTTCCCTTGCCATCAATCTTTCGAAAAGAGTTTCAGTTCCCGTTTTTTGAGTGATCCCATGACACTATACATTTACAAACATCCTTTTTTTCTCCGGAATTCGGACCTGAGCCCTTCAATACGGCAGTCACTGTCACTAACCATTTTCTCGAACATAACAATGGTTGTCAACCATTTTATCCCTAAGCATCTCTTTCTCCATTCCCCCACCTTTATAAAACATATAAATTCATTTAAATTTATATTCTTTTAAAACATGTTTTATAAATTAAACAACAAAAACATAGAAAATGCTGATAAATACCAAACTTCAATAAAAGTTACTATAACTAAATACTTAACAGATAAATAAAAGGCTGGCCGTATTTCTTCCCTTGAAGCTATGAAATTCCCCTTAGGAGGGAAGTTCCGCCTCGTTGAGAACCTTCGTCTATTTTATCTTTCACGATTTTCGACAAATCTTCGAGGACTGTCGCCTTTCGAGTTTTATTGAAAAGGTATACACAAGTCGAAATGATTCAAACACTAAAATGTATTGACATAACTTAAATTTTGATACAAGTGGAATAAAGGTGACAGTGAGAAGTTCCCAAAGTTTGAAATGGAAAGAAAGGATCAGTTTGCAGTTTTGCCAGAAAATCCTTCTGATTCAGCAGCCTCACGACATAACTTTTTTGCAATAACCAGAACCAGACTGTGTGCGGAAAAGATTTGCGACTATCAACTTCTTCGGAAAAGGACCACGGTGACGATCGGAAATACAGTTTTAGAATTCAACAGGCATGACCCTATAGACAGAATAAAGTTTTGAAATTTTGTCGCGAGACAAATGAAGTAAATATCGAAATCTTGTAAAGTAAGGAGAAACCTTGGAGCTTCTCTCAGCACACTAGCATTGAATCGTTGCAGATTTTGAGCAACACGCTTTTAGGAATTTTTTACGTCTGCTTGAAAAATTCAGCAATTTAACAATTTATTTTAATTTTAACAATAAGTGGACATTTACGTCCTGTTGTTTCTAAAGAAACTTTCGTTGACTATTATGGTAAATATGTTCAGAACGTATGTATGTGTGATTATGGCAAAGCCTCGAGGGCTATCTGCCTAAGGGTAGGAATGCCTTCGTGGAGGACTTTCTAAGGGAAACCGGCTCGTATACACGTTACACATGGGGGAAAACCACGAAAACGCCCATGCAGCCAGCCGGTTTGCGGGATTCGAACCTCAGACATGTTCAGAACGAAATAATCAATATGTTGGAAAGTTCTGTTAAGGACAATATACTTAAAATCGAGCTAAATAAACAAAATATTTTAGTCTTATTTTAGACAGTACTTCAGATTTAAGTCACGTGGAGCAGCTTTCGTCTACAGCACAGACTTTAGATATACTAATTTTTCAATAAAGGAAAATTTTATTAGGTATACACTCGTTAGAGAAATTAAGGGTCAAACATTATATGATAATATACTTGATTTTCTGAGAGATAGTAGTAGTAGTAGTAGTAGTAAGTTTTACTGGCGCAAAACTCTAAAGGTTATCTGCGCCGAATACATGTCAGTTGTTTCCTTATACAAATGAGGCTTAGGCAAAACAGACGAACAGACAAGATTAAAACCATAGAAATGCATAAAATACAAAGAAGCTAAAAAATGATGAATGCTAAGATGAACTTTCTTATAATGCAGGCGATTTGTACAGATGTAAAATCCTAAAACATGAAATGCATTAAAATAGATATTCTTAAGATCACAAGATCAAAACAAAATCAAATTAAATAATAAAAACTGACTCTTTTAGGTATTGAAATAAATTAGTATCTTTCCCAATTAAACGGTCAAGAGGCAAGTCATATTCGTTAAAATGTTTCAACCGAAGTCTTTAAAAATATTTACACTTTATAAGGTATTTTTCCCACTTTCCTAACGTGCCTTCGTGATGTAGTGGTTCTGCACGCTGGGCCGGTATTCCAGAGGTCCGTGGTTCGATTCCCGGCGAAGGCGGTTGCTAATTTTTCGTCTCTTCGGCTTCCAAAAAATCCTAATGTCTCTACAACTTAACTAAAAGATGATGAACTGAGATGACTGCATTACAGTGGGAGCAAATTGGTTCACGATCTGCTTTTAGTAAATAGTCGTGGGTAATTCGCGAGTAGCCAATTCGAAGTCGAGTAAGTAGAACTTCCTCCTTACGGTTCCTAGTGGTATCCCAGTATTCAATTCTAGTTTTCACACTTCTTGACTTATTATCTACCTGACCATCCCAGTGTTTCTGCTATTTATCTAATATTTGCTTCTTGATAACTTTCCTGATATCGTTGGGAGGGGCAGCTCAAATGTACATATCGATAGCCGACTTTGCTCTTGCGTCTGCTAGCTCATTACTTCTAATGCCTACACGCCCGGGTATCCAGAAGTACAAGACCTCATACCCACAGTGCCACAGATCTAGAATGATGATATCTACTATGGCAGGATTCGAGGCATCACTAAATGCTTCTAAT